TTATCAATATGCCAAAGTAAGAGGTATTCAGTGAAAACAGCTCAGGAGATGTTAAAACTATCTCCAGAATAATGAACACCACTGTACTTTACATTTCTTGTAAGGCAATTCTGACTAAGAAACCTATTATTATCAAACCCCTGAGAACTTTGATTTTCTGTGTTATCCRCTAGAAGTTTTACACCATTATGCACTCCCACCTAAGTTAACATATATGCAAGGGAACAAACAAAAAAGTAGTATCTATTTATGGATTAGACTTTTTAAAGAGTTCAGGTCTGATAGCTGTCATTTTGCTGTCAAATATGCAACTGTCTTCTCAAATAAGTTCAGCTCCAGCACTTCTTTCTGTTCTCTCCCAGCTAGAAGTTCTCTGGGAGCTCCTAAAGGCTGTGGCTTCTGTTGAAGATCACCCATTTTAACAAAACCCGTGTGTGTTTATGGCAGTAGCCACAATGCGCTAGCTGGCTCCTCCAGACATGTAAAGTCTTTGCCCTGGGGAGTTCACATGTCAAGAACAGACATCTAGACAGAAACTGGGAAAAAGGCTGGCTCTGGAGGACGCTTATGCCAGCTAATTAGAATAACCCTGGACAATGAGATGGAAAAGACACTATACTCCAACTGTGTTTAAGCCTAAGGAGTTGAATCACTGAGTATGTTGAATTGCAAATATTGCAACTAGAAGTAACTGTCATGTCGGGCACGGTACTTACCACCACCACAGCTAGTACCAAGCTCCACCTTTGGTGTTTTACCCTTCATACCAAGTATTTCTGGGAGAGACACATATCCTGTTCTTAGCTAGGAATATGTGCTGTTAGCTGTCACTGAGATGGAACCAGGAAGGAAAGCTTCAGCTAGCTCTGCTCTGAACTGAGAAATAAAAATACCCTCAGCTCTTGTCTCTGAGCTGAATCCAGAACCTCCACCACAGAAATGCAATTCCTTCCTTCCACTCCTAGAAGACATCACCAGAAAGCATCCTCAAAGACTTTAGGGGGTGCCTGTCATCTTCCATTAAGGAGTTCTCATCCAGAAACTGAGAAACAACATCTAAATTTATCAGGAATAGCTTACTATGTTGTCTTTAAGCTATTGATTCACAATATAGTGGCTTCAGCAATAAGACCATCCAAAACTGCTCATGCTCACGTTCATCTGCCAACAGCAACTATTTATGGAACTCCCCTGAAGATGAGGCTTTTAAACCAGCTTTGTCATGAAATACACACACCGAGAATCTCAGCTGTGACTCACTTCCCTTTTGAACAKCATACTAATGTTGTTAGCATTAACCCCTCTGGCTGTATGCCCTTTTAAAGATTTTAAGACACAGTTGAGGAGGCATTGCAATAAATATGGTACAGGTGGAAGTGTTATTGTAGTGAATGAACCTAGGGACCCCCAGGAAAGGAAAGGGGAAAAATTACTCAACTTCTTTATCAGTTGCACTGATGCATGAGCCTGAAATTGTAAATAGAACCATGTAAATAGAATCATGTAAATTCCATGATCTTTATTTGGACTTTGTTGTTCTCTATAAAGGATTTATATTTTAATTTGTGAAAACTGAAGTGCTCAAAAATCAGAGGCAGAGTCCCAGTCCACACAGAATGATTTGCTATTTGTTTAAAGGATCCAGAATATCAGCCTATTTCTTTAAGATTTGTTTTTATCAAAACACTATTCAACTATTTGGCACTAGCTACATACGTATATATAGTTGTTATGCAGAATTTATGCTAATATCAGTCAATTAAAAAGAAGCCATTACAATCTACTATCATGAGGTTAAATTACTTACCTGGGAGGTATTCAATAAAAAACCTGTCCCAATTAAGCAGAGTATACTGCAATAATATTTTACATTTATATAGCACCTTACATTTGGTATTTGGACAATTAGGCTGTGAGAGCAATGCGAAATCACAGCAGGCCCCTTTGAACAAGGCCAGCAGCTAACCATCAAGTTGCTCTACTTCACAGTGGGAAACTTCTTACAATGACACTGAGCAAAGTCCTAATCTCACAAAATATAATAGGAATTCTCCAGTTTTAGGAGATAAACAACAGAACTGCAGAATTGCACTCAGGCATCACTGATATCAATCCTTACAGTTCTAGGCAGAATATGTTCTAACTCTGTTTCAAATGTAAAGGGTCAATAAATATTTTAAACTTGCTTTTTAAAGTAGTTACAAATCACCTCAAATAGAATCCAAGGCTTTTCTGGCAGTACTCTGTGCATAGGTTCATTAAAATCTCTTGAAAAAAAATGTACCTTTGCCAAAAATTTATCCTGTTCCACCTTTGTAATGTAAAAATTTCAGGAGTTCTCAATTCATTGATTGAAAGGTAGTAAATATTAGGACCTAGTTCTCAAGGAAATTAATCTCTCAATCTTCATCCAGAGGTTTGTGTGCTTCCTTTATTGCTCTGTGCCTCTGTGATATAATGACAGTCATGATTTTAAAGATGCTTGATTACATAGAAGAATGTTTTACATGTAGTTATGGGATTGTTCCACAGTAAAGGTTTTGGGGAGGATGTTTTGTCAATAAGGTATGCTGTCTACCAGGCCTATACGKAACAAACAATCATTTCATTGTTTTTGCACTTCTAAATCACAGAAAAACTCAATGGCCTCAGCTATAATGGGTTAATGGCTGTGGTCAGTAAACTGAAGCCACTGCAGGTGTGAGGTTTAATTGAGAGGCAGATGTACAAAGACAGCAGGTAGAAATGGAAATTAGGTTAGAAAGGGAACAGAGCAAGGTGAATGCAGAATTCTGTAACCTAAATAAAAMCATGCACACTTAAACTGTGCTTGCCAATGCTCCATTCTTTGCAAGTGATGTCAAGTGGTTAATATTTTACAAGAAGCTCATGATTTTGCTGTACGTGTTCTCTAATATATGAAACCATTTCTCCCCATTTATCTATTTTCTTTCCAAAAAAATACCTACTTCTGCTTATGGGAACTGGAGATAGGTACATATTTGCAAGCTGCTTTTTCACATGCACAAGCAGGTATTTTTGCTTGTGCTCAAGATAAACTAATGATTATATAACTCACTTACTGACCTTCTAGCAGGAAATATACTCCATTGCTCACATATTACTAATATTAGTCATCTAATGGGAAAGACCAAAGGCTTTAATCACAGCTCCTTCTCAGTACAATTTTATAGTGTACCTTTACAGAGGGAAAAAAAAAATATGTTAATAGGAAGATTGCAATGGTAGCAAGATGGGATGCCTGGGGTTAACACTGCTGTTGCAGCATTGATGAGCCCTAGAGGTTGGAAGCAGCTTGTGCTGGAAGCCAAAGGCAACCTTTGCCCAAGGTTAGCAATTTTATTAGAAAAGTCTGGTTGAAATCAGTGCCCCTCCTGCTTAGCTGGAAAGGACTTTGAGGATGATGATGTGGATTGCCAAAAACACACGTAAAGGCTAAAAGTTTTTTAAATGCCTGCAACAGCAGAGCGATTTACTTGCTCAAGTATGTCTTAGTTCTCCTTTAAATTTTGTGTTAGTCTGTCTTAAGGTGGACCTGCCTAGGTAATCTTTTCTTATAGTTTCACAGCAGAAGAGGCAAAACTGCTTACTGCAACATGGTTAGAAACATGTTTTTGCCTGACCTTGCACATAATAATTGTGCTGTTACACAATTACACAGAGTATTTAATGCACATCATATATTCACATGCATTTTCCACTGCTGGGTTCTTATCCTGACCAGCCAGAGAAGAATAGGATGAAGCCTTGAGTACCATTTGCTTCTGTTTGAGTTTGGCATGTTTCTGCTTGGGTTGATCTGTGTCCAGTCTGTGTACGTATATCATATACTTATGTTTGTATATACATATTACATATTTCCAATTGGGAATGCTTGCTTTCATCTTTGCATGCAATTTGAATATATTTTGCTGGCTATAAGAACTAAAAGTAAGGTTGTTATCTGATGATCAGCTATTGGATTAGGGAGCAATAAGTGGTTTAAATTTCATCAAACTGAATATTAAATCCATGCAGGGTGTAGCGCACCACATCCCTGGGTAGAGAAGAGGCATGATCTTGAAGAAAAGTTTAGAAAACCTTAGCATGTACAGAGAGTCAGGAGGGAAAGCAAATAGTAAAGAAGTAATGAAGTTAATTCTGGCCTGCTTGCAAATTCAATTTTATTTTTCACCATGATTATTGCTGATTTATTATTGACTGAAATTACAAACCAAAATTAATAACCTCACTTACCACTATAAAGAGACCTGATGGATAGGACCAAGTATGAGTGCTATTACAAGTGTACAAACTATGTACAGCCCTGAGCCTAGAGATTCTTTCATCTACTATACAAAAAATAAGAGTAGAGAAAAAAAAAAAGCCTATAATCTAAGCAAGCTGTCTTTGACCAATGATGCTGATCAGAATTATCTACATCTAGCTGAACTTAACTGTTTTAGTGAGGCAATTGCGTGTCCCAAAACTAATAGAAGTCTTTCTAAAACATTACTGCAATAAACTCACCTCAAAAAGGGCAATTACATAAATCAAATTAAAGATATAGATTTCTAATGAGGTTATATTGCATATTTTCTATTGAATTTAGATGACTTTTCAAAGATCATACTAATACAGACTGAGCATATGCACCAATACATCAGGTAGGCAGCATTTAATGCTATGCATAGGATAATAATCATTTTAAACAATTAATTAATTAAAAGCTTCTGATAATATTTCTACTTTTTCATTTCTGTGCAGATCATAGATATAATTCATTTCAGTACTAGATACTCAATTAAAAGTTTCATTTTTAAACAAACTAAATAAAAGGCATTTTTTMTTAATTAAGTTAGAATTAAAAAAACCCACATAATAGTGTAAAAAAACAAGTACTTATAGAAATCCTTCTTTAGATGAACACAAAGAAAATACTGTTTTGTAAAGTAACACATTAACAACAATAAGAAAAAATCAGAAGGAAGCTAACTAACCATGGCCTGCAGGAAACTGTCTCCATTGTAAATGAGGTGCTAACTGGAGTATGTACAGCTGTGGCCAGGCATGATAATATGAGCAGCTCCGAATTAGTTCTTCTTTATCACTTCGTTCCCTCTTAGCAACATCCTGAAAGATGTTCAAATAGTAACAGTAGACAACATGTAAAGGAAATAGAAAAGTGTTAGCATTTAAAAATAAAGAAAGAAGATAAATAAATTGTAACATTTGTTTATTTAAAATTCTGTAGAACAAAGAAAGTTTTTAGAAGTATCAAGTTTATCATTAAGAGAACATGGCAAAAAATACTAACCATTTCTAATATAGCCTTAAAAATTCTTCTTTAAACTTTATATTCCTATTTATGTACCTTTTCAGGGACTTCAGTCTCAACTTGTGGCAGCTGACCCCTTGAAGTGTTCAAACTCAGTTTAGCAAATAAAAACATACGACTTATGAAACAATAAAATGATGCCTAAAATGGTTGTCACATACCAAACATGTAAACATAGTTTTTTAAAGCACCTTAATATTGAGATCCTTAAACATGACAATGTTTAAAATGTTATTTGTGATACCCCAAAGTCACTTGTCAGTACAGAGGGTTTCATTTGAATTTTTAATATGAAAAAAAGTGAGTCAAAGATCAGAAAGTGCCATATTATAGAAAATACATTATTTTACAGGATAATATGAAATGGCAGGAAATTAATTTTATAATTTGACCTCTGACTATCAGACATTGCCTTATCTTTTAGCAAGTAACAGCTTCTGGTAATCATAAGGGGGAAGAAAAGAGTAAAAATGATAAATAGACCGTATAGAAAGTCAGAACAAGAAAAAAAATCAGCACCTTAAAGAGTATGAGGTTTATCTCAAAGAAAGCTTTTCTTCAGTCTCTCAATCTCAATTATTGATATAAAATTAATTTTCATGCACTTTGGAAGGTCACCATCTCCTATATTTCTGTTTTCCTTCTTTAGAAATGAATATAAGTTCCATACCTTCTATGCAAGTATTTCCTACTTTCCCTAAGTCCATCAATTACATTTTTAGTCCATGCAATAAATACTGCACTGTGCATGTTAATGGATAGGAGCCATAAAGAGAAAAATTATAGTCTCTTTTCAGACATATCTTGATATCTTAGTGCTTTTAGGAGATCTTATGTGCCTTCTGCATAAAGAGAATTACAAATCATAAGATGAAGCCAAATCTTGAAATGGATTTTCTTTCTCAAGCTGAAAATTCAGTCAACTTTGAAGACTCCTTAGCTAATACACAATTTGAAGAGCCACCTTAGCTCAAATACATTTTTTGGAGTATCCATAGTTCAGCACTGAGAGTCTGGAGGAAGATGTCTCACTTTTTCTGAGCCATCACCATGTTGAGTTTTCTTGCTGTACAAACTAGGGGAGACTAACTTATTGTGCTGTGCACAAAAAAAACAGAGTATATAATGTGTACTTGAGCAGAATTTCCCATGAGAGCCATTGGTATTTTGTTGTTATTGGTCTTAACTCATTGGGTCTTTGAGCATGTGAATGTTTCTATTGTGCAATAATTCAGCTTGAGAAAGAAAAAAGTGCCTCATAACCCCACTACTAAGAATTATATTTTCCTGTTTAGCACAGATAATTTATAAGGTTATTATCATATACAGATTTTTTCCTAGTTTCAGTGGGTTTTATTTTTAATTGCTTTTTTTTACTGTGAAAATTTTTGAAGCTGGATATGTGAGTCTGAAGCTTAATTCCTGTGTTGGAGTGTATCAGCTTAAATCCCAAATGAAATGTGTCTGTGAATATATCTGAAATCCCAGGACAACATTCAGTGATGTTTTATCTCCTGCGGTCAGTTTTGGAAAATCCTGCTTTCCCCCAGCCAGTTTGACTTTCATTTCATGACACATTTGCCCCTTCCTTACACTTGTACCAGTACAGATTCTTATGAGACTGTGCTGGTAGCTGGGTGATTAACTGGGGAAAAAAAAAAAAAAAAAAAGAAAGAAAGAAAGAAAAGAAAGGGAAGAGAGGCAAGGAAAAGGAGGTGAGAGGAGGGATCTCTGTCTTTTAACTTTACTGCTAGTGAAAAAGTTCATGGAAGTATACTCTAAATCAGGGAGTTCATGAGTTCAAGCTCAGCTGGGAAATGAGTAACAACTAGCAAACCTTTCAGCCAACCTTTCTTAGCACTCCATAAAACATTAATTTTTCATGTCTTTTGCTTAGCCACAGGTAGGAACACTACTGCTAATTTTCAGCTTAAGTTAAAGCTCTGCAGAGACTTTAAGTTTTCAGTGCTTGAGCTGGCACTTGGCAATTTGTGAGGTGTCAGGTGAGTACTGATGAGGTTGAGAACTAGGTGTTGTCTTGTTAATGTGCTTGGCAGGGAAGCAGAGCAAATTCACAGCAGAAACAGTTTGTAGTAATCCATGGATACAAGTTGCACATATCCATTACGTTTTGATCTCCAAGAGGATGATGAGTTTGAAAGGTCAGATTGCATCAGTTTAAACTAGATTTAGGGGTTTATTTTGTGAAGAAGATAAGGGTTACGCTGGGCTAAGCAGTCTAAATGTAACTAGAAGGATTTTAGGTGGAATGAATCCGAGACTTTAGTTGAAAGTACTCAAAACAAAATAAAACAAAAGATTACAGAGTTATTTAAGTTTGCAGATAAACTATATACAAGAGAAAATGCCTCAAAAGAACAAAAACTCATAATATTATTGCAGTTTACCTCTCTGACTCTCAGATATTCTGAACATGGAATTTTAAGAATTTCACAGTCTTCTTCTGTGATGATAGATAACTGGATTTTCTGCAGTTTTGATGGGAGAGTTTCCAGAGTTCCAAAACAACTTCCTTTGACAAGCTACAAAAATTAAACAAATAAAAGTATAAACATCAAGTATAATTTTCTCTCCTTATCTTTAAAACAGGCAAATAATAAAATTAGTTTTTTTATTTTGCAGCTACTTTTAGAACAAATATTTTGATGTAGTTCTTTGTTCTGTGTCTATATGCTGATGTGTATTAGTTTTGGGAAGTACAGCCAAGTTATGCTTATTGGTAATGACTGATATTTTATGCATTAAACATGTAATCATGTGGCAATTAGGGGTGGTGATATTATACCAGAATAGTATGGTAATGAAGTTCAATCTGACATAGTGTTTGGTAAACAACCTCTGTGCAGGATCTCCTTTCAAATGTTTTCCCTTATGAATATCTCTGCTGTCTAATAGAAGAGAGCTATTGGAAGAATACAGGAAAGTGTTCACGAAAGAATCTATCAGAGGCATCGGAGACAATTTGACACAGTCAAGGTTAATGTAAATCGGAACATTTTCCCAGTTTATATCATTTGCTATCTGGACTGAAGTAGCCAAAGTGAAACATCTGCCGTTTTCATTTAAATGACAAATAAGCAATAAGCACAAATGCAGAATGAAGTTACCCAGTTCTATAACTTATGTCAAGGTGAGTAATTAATACAAATTGCAGAACAAATTCAAAAACAATACTGCAAAATACCTAACTTTTCTGATATTCGTCTCTTCTGATTCTTCCTTGAATTATGCTTTCAAGGTTCATCTCAATTACTGTTTCAGCTCAGCTCAGAAGCACACTGTGGAAGATATTCTCCCAATTCTCCTCACTTAGCACATTTTGGTTCATATTTCAGAGCAATCTTGAGCCATATAAACTCATGTCCTTTTAGCTGTATTTAAATTGGAATATCAGATGCTCCAAGAAAGCCTCTGATATACTCCATCTGCTGCTGAGCATCAGACCTAGGAGAACTAATCCAAAAGTAAAGTCCTAAAGCCTGTATCATGGCTATGTTGGGTTGTCACCTCTTTCACTGTACAGATCTGCTTTGAGGATACATTAGCTGATCATATATATTTAGGCATAATAAGATACAGCAGCATGTACTATATGTACATAGTACATTACTATTTACATAGTACTATAAATCTCAACTGATCCAATAGCCACCACTGCTGCAGTCTTCAGGTGTAGGTCAAAAATTTTTAGAGAAGCTCAGCATTGTCAATAATATTGGCAATTTCTCTTTTCAAAATGAAGTTCTTTTTTTTTTTTTTTTTTTTTTTTTTTTGATGGCAGGAAACACTGCAAATATTTCCTTTTAAGACTCACTTTTATAAGCAATTAGGAGACTAGAGTGTAAAATAGATAACATTTCTTGAAATATTTGTATTCTTGTCTTTCAGTAGCACTCTCTGTAGTGTTAATTAAATGAGACCACRGAATCCATGATTCCAGAAAACTATGAATTTAAGTACTCTCAATGTTTCTATATTGCCATGACATTAGTAGAATAAGCTATTTTTAAATTGTAGAGGTCTCTATTCCCTTTTGTCTCTATCGTCAACAAGAAGGTTCAAGTAACAAATGATCTTGATGAGAAAAACTCAGTATTTTCTCTAAAACCAGAGGCTTCATTTTCAAATATGTGTTCACCATAAACTATAACAATTTTATATTTGTTTAAGTACGAAGACATTGAAATAAGTTGAGAACTTAGAGCCCTCCAAAAAAGGAAAATTAAGTGAAATAATGATTTTGTTTCTGTTTTCTGCTTTCTCTCTTTTCTTATTCTAAATATTGGCAAAGTTTAAAATGAAAATCTCATTTTTCATTGAGAGATTTTMATTTCAAAATTGCCAAGCAAAAATATTTATGTTTCCAAAATGAGTCCATGGATTTTTATTTAAGYTTGAAAATATCAAGAAGTTTTTATATTGCTTTTAACTATATAATAAAAAATATTTTCATTGGTTTCAAAAGTATAGCTAAAGTTTAAAATTATATTTTAACATATTTAAGATCAGCTAACCTATTTTTTCTCAGAACTATAAATATAATTTTCAGATATAAATAATTCTTCTGAAGAAGCAGTTACTTTTGAAGAAGCAAAAGTAACTTTTTTCATCCTATGAATTTAGTGTTAAATATCAACAATGTTAATCTGCAGTTATAAGTATAATATAGCTGTTTTTCCTTTGATTGCTATTTCACATTAATTGAGAAATAGCAGCAGAGTAAAACTTGAAGAAAGAAAATTCCACACTGGCCTGCTTTATTATTTATCTTACATATTACAGGATACTGCTTAATCTTTTAATAGTCTGTTAGTGTTCAAATTTCTTCTTTAGATCCCTCCCTAAAAGCAAAATGAGCCTGAAGAACTTCTCCAGTTAGTGTGTCAACAGTAAGACTTCCACTGAATATAAGGGTCTGAAAGAGATATGAACTAGACAAGTTTCTAATMAAAAAATATGCAGCCAGGAATGTAAATGAACATGTGTTAGCTGTGTGTGGGTGTTGGAGAGGAAAATACAGTTTGAATTCTATATCTAGTCAATAAATTTTTCATGAAATTAATTTTTTGACAATTGATGCTTTGAAGAAACACAGAATTATAAATATTATCCAAAAAAWTCCATTTTCCCTTCATCTGCTCTTGCTCCTTAATTGCCAAAGGCTCTTACCCTCAAAAATGAAAACCATCATGTTTTCTTCAATTCTCTGTAAATGTGAGAGTTAATTTTATTGGATGAGGAAGGCAAATATTTTGGATGTATATAATCTGATCTGACCAACATGGCTTGTGCACAGTGGTGAGTATCAGTTATTTAGAGCAAACAGCATGCAGTCAAGCCAAAAACTACAATATTTGAAGAATATTAATAAAAATCACCACCCACAAGAAAAAGGGAAGGAAYCCCAACAGACACTCATCCTTCCATGTCCTTGATAGGACATCAATGCTACAAATTGCAGCTCATCCATCCTTTTCTTTGGTTTGTCCTTGGCAAAGAAGGCAGAGGGAAGAGTCTGGGTGAATTTGCCTTGCTCCTGTGCTCCAGTTTCTGTGGTAGCTCAGGGAAGTGCTGGTGTTACCAGCCCGTATCCCACACGCAGTGCCAGCAGTGCCAGCATGTGCAGCATGTCTGTCACTTCCCCGCAGCACTGCTCTTGCTGTGCCCATGCACATGAGCCGACAAGACCTGGCCTGCCTGGCCAGAAATGTTGGAGTAAATATTACATTATTAGAGAAATGGACAAAATTTATTTCTGTAGCTATACTCCATCTTTTTCTTTAAAGGTCTTTATTGAACTTTTTTTTTCTTTTCGAAGGTGCCCAGAAATCATTGTGACATAATGCTCAGAGGTGTATTTCCAGTGTTTTTCAAAATGAATTAATCAAAATAGTTCTAAAATCTTGCAGCAAAAACTTTTTTTTTCATAAATTGACCCTAAATTTCACCATGTTTCTCTTTTACTTTGGACTTTCCAAGGATTCATAGACCTTTCTGAATGTGAAAAATCTCTGTGGGCCCCTTCTTTACTACAGAAAGATGTATCAGCTCCAAGAAGTTCTCTTAAATAATATTTCTCTATTCCCTGAAACAAAAACATATAGGTATATATAAAAGGAATTAGAAGAAACAGCTGGCATAAGTAAAACTCATCTTTCTCATCTACCAAATTCTGACAGCATCAACTGAGAGGTTAATTAAAGGTTAATTCCACCAGCTGAAATGCTAAACAAAAGTATATTGTTACTCTTGTAATCATAGCTAAACTGTGACCTGAGAAGGGATTGTAAACAAATTCAGTTACTGACCCGAATCAAAGGCTAAATAGATAGTTTGAAGATATCTCTAAAATTTATAGTTTTAGTTTCAACTACTTATTACATTAAAATTTATTTTACTTTGTTTCACACTTACTTAATGTTTCATGTACCTTATGGATATTTAAGCCCTTAATGATAATATCTAATTCTTAATAACTTGAAGGAGAAGGCAACTCCTGACAGACAGGAAATCAGGGGGGCAATAATCTTTGCCATGGATAAAGTAAGCATGGTTTAAAAAGTAGCATGTTCCTCCTCACTACTCCTGTTGAAATGCTGACTCAGWACATCGGATGGCTAGGAACTTTCTAATTTACAGCCCAAATTTTCACAGGCCAGAATTCATCCCATCTTCTTATAACAATATTGTCTTTCAGCTTCCATAACTCTTCTCCTTGTTTACTTTCAACTTTCTCTATCCACTCTATTTGTAAAAAGAAGTCATATATCTCACAGACTTTTTTTGGCAGAGAAACCAAATACTTGTAGCCTCCTTTTGTAATTTAAGTGAATGAAGACAATATTGCCAAAAAGAAGCTATATAACTACTTAGGACATAAATGCAAAATTATACATTTGTGTTGTTGACCTGGACATAGGTCACCCAAACTGGTGAGTGGCTTCATCAGGTACCTATATCTGGCCAAGCAGAAATCTTCCTTCRTGTAGTATCTCACAGGTTAATTTATAGCTGTTTTCCAACCACATAAATAAATCCAATTATCCTAGTGTATACTGCCTTCAGCAGGGCTGAGAAACACTGAGTCTCAACCTTCTCTTGAAGAGAGGCTGATGAGGGTTTGAAACCAGTCATCCACATTTAAGTATGGCCCTAAAAATTTAAGTACTGGCAGTGATTAGCAACAACACACTCTTTTCCTCTCCACATCACTCCCTCCATGGCAGCCTTCTTCTGTGCTAAATGACTCTGATCATGCCCTACATGATTTGCTCCAGCTTCTGGAATTGAGGAATTGAGCCCAAAGCTCCCATAATCTTGCTTCTCAAATCATCTYCTCCCAGATCCCCCAGCAACCTGTGATAAGTTTCTCTGAATCAAATGCTTTCAAGTAAGGCATAGAAATTCATATTCTGTTCTTCTCCAGTAATTTCCTCATGCAACACAGTCTTCTGTTTTCTTTTTGTGCCTCTTTCTTCTTCTACATTTTTTATCGCGATCGGAGATGCACTGTGGAGATTCT